CTCAGTAGGGTTGTTTACAGCACACGCGATTTCCGGTTAGCTTCTTAGCTTAGCCTCCTTCACACCAACAACACACACATGCTTCAGCAGAGGCCACGCCTCCTGCAAGAAATCGATTCTCTATGCATCAAGTCCAGACCCTCGTACGAAGCAAAGTGAAGGACAGGGTCTGGTTTAAACCAGGCTAGGAAATGCCAAAGCTGTCTGGTAAAACATTACGTTAGACTTTTGGAGGAAATTAGATTAATCGAATACTTGATAAATAATCAACATGAAAATAGCCGTTTCTTCTGACAAGATAGACGGGCTAGTCTGAGCGGCCTCCTGAACTTTCTTCCACATTAAAGTCAAAGAGCCATCTACAACAAGTAAGACACTAACTAGTTACAACCCTTCCACAGAACGCTCCTGTCTGCACCACCACTTGTTTGTAAAGCCAGCAGCACAGACACTATCAGACACATTCGATGAGTCACTTGTTCCCAGAGATGATAAATATTTTAGCTGAGGTAGACAGCTTCCTTTTAGAAACAGGTGGGCGTGTCCAAGACTTTAACCTCAACTCCACTTTCTGTAAAATAAAATGAAATAAACGCCCCACACCTCTTTACTAGTCACATCACACTCTCCATCCATTCACCATGAAGGGGGACAAGCTTTAGTGGTCTTTCTGATTCACCACTGTGTGAGCAGAATAGTGCGTGCGTGCGTGCGTGCGTGCGTGTGTGTGTGCGTGTCAGGCCGAGCCAAACCCTGTCAAAAAAGAACCCAACTTATAAGGGAATTCACACAAAACAAGGCTCCCTTTGCGAGCGTGAGGCTGCTTCCCATCTTTATGCCCACTGAAACAGGAAGACAAACTGCTACGTTTGCAGCATAAAGGCTTTGATTTTAAATTGCTGCGTGTAAAAAAAAAAAGAAAATAATAGAGTCAGCAAGCCGGGAACAAATTTTTTCTCACCATGCTGGAGTGCACCGTGGCTTGCTCTATGTAACGGGCGATGCCAGTCACGAACGCATTCCTGTCTTCAAAGTTGGTGTCAAAATTAGCCTGCGGGACGGGAGAYGAAGAGGGTCAAAGCGGGCAGCGGGGATCATGGTGGGTGGTGGCGACGGTGCGTTTGAGTGTGTGTGAGTGTACCTGGTACATGATCGAGGAGGGAGGGGGTTCGATGCACGGCTGCTGGTCGGGCAGGGGCAGCTCCTCCAGCAGGTCCACGTTGGACAGAGCATCCTCCAGGGTCACGTGGGTCGTCATGGTAACAAGAAGTCACTCAAACAACACCCCGGTCTGGGAGACACAGAGGAGAGGAGAACATGAAAYGAGCACAGGAAGAAGAAAGACTGCGAGTGGATCCGATTCACAGAAATACATACGTTGATTAAAAGAGCGTGTATATCACCTTTTTGTTTGAAACTAAGGTCACCAGTGGTGGGCAGCGCTAATCCAAAAGTTAGCTCCGCAATTTCTAAAGTGCTTATAAAAATATTTAGGTCCGCAACTTCAAAAACGATTATGCCATAGAAAAACTAGCGGAAGCTAATTTTAAAGCGCAAGTTCAATTTGACACTTACTAGCTGGCAACAATTCATGTACAATATACTCAACACTGCCAGCTAGCGTTGTATGAACCCTTTTACAGATTCATCCTACAACCGCCGATTGCTGGGGATGTGATTTCCTCAAACAGACCTTTGGCTCCTGGTGTAAAAATTAAAAAGTTGTTGAGGATTGCTAGTTCG